TCTGCCTGTTAGGAAGTTTGCGATCCAGTTGAGTAACACGGGATGAATTTCCATGTCTTTCAATTTTTCCAACAGAATGTTATGATCTAATCTATCAAACGCCTTGGAAAAATCAAGTAAACAAATCCGTATAGTGTTACCTTGTTTGTCAGCTGCTTCAAACCATTTATGTAGCATGTAGATTATTGCCATACTAGTGCTTGAACCCTTCAGCGACCCAAATTGCAAGGAATCAATTTTTTTTGAGACGGAGGGAAGGGAAAGGATTCAAGAATCTTGTAGGGAAAGGATTCAAGAATCTTGCTGATAATTGGTGTGAGGGAAATTGGTCTAAAGTCAGAATCAACATCTTTAGGAGGCGAAGATTTTTGAACTGGTGTAACATTTGCTGCCTTCCATATTGAGGGAACAAATCCTTCACGAACTGATGAATTAAAAATAGAACACAAAGGTCGACACAACACTGAAGCGTTTTCCCGGAGAAGCCAAGAAGGAATTTCATAGGGACCAGCAGATGAATGAAGTTTAGGTGATAATAGGGCCTTTTCAGTCTCCTCGACAGAGATGCAGAAATCATCTGGAATGTCATTTGTGGGAAGGGGGAGCCAGTTTAGATTGGGTAAGGAGGACCCTACAGCAACGAACTTGTCGTTGACGAAATTTGCTAAATCGGCATCAGAGTAGGATTTACCTTGGAACATCATTGTAGATACATTCTTATAAGACTGAAGACCGGCAATATTCTTCACCGCTGACCACCATTTACGAGAATCGGACTGTTGAACGCCCGCGATACTTTTATTGTAATAATTTAGTCGTGCCTTCTTGCAAAGTGCATTGACTTTGTTTCGATAGAATCTGAACATCAGGTTATTGCCAGCCGCCCATGCTGTCTGCCGCTTGGAAATGAGAGATTTTATTTCGGAAGTAATCCAGGGCTTGTCACTAGAATCAATTTTGATTTGTTTCCAAGGCAAATGTTCGTTTATGATATTATCTACGATGGTGGAAAAATACTGGAACTGCTCGTCACAAGATTCCATATGGTGCAAAGGTAACCAATTAACTTTCGACAGATGATCGCTAACAATTCGACGATTGGTTGGGCGAGAGTCTCGTACTAAACGTGTAGACCTTGTGCCACCATAAGAGTTAGCTGGAAGAGGTTTAAGAACGATGGAATTATGATCGGAATGTCCAATTGGTGAGGGCAGAATTACCAGGGCAGAATTATAAAATTTAGAAATGTTGGTAAATATTTTATCTAAAATATTCTTTCCTCTAGTCGCGTCTTTGACTAACTGCTTGAGGTTAAAGGAACTGCATAACTGGCGATGTTTAAATTGGTTAAAATCTCCGGCCAAAATAATTCCTGCACCGGAATTGGTGGAAAGGACAGGATCAATTGATTCGGTAAGGTGTGAAAGAAGGGCTTTATCGTCACTTCCAGGTGGATGGTACACGATTCCCAATACAATTGAATTTAAACCACGAGGCAAGCGGTGAGGTTTTAAGAGTAACCAAAGCGATTCATATTCGTGACTTTCAATCTCTTTAAGATGAATGAAAGGAATCATGTCCTTTACAAAGACACAGACTCCACCTCCTCGTCTGCCGTCAGAACGATCATGCCTCAGTAAGGAATAACCGCATAAGTCTATTGCTGAATTGGGAACATTTGAAGAAAGCCACGTTTCGGTAACAACGACAATGTCTGATGTATAGAATTTTACTGTAGCAGACAGTTCGTCAATCTTGCTGATCAGCGATCTTGAATTAGAAACAAATAAATTCGGTAGAGAAGAGAGTAAGGGCGTTTTTTTGGTTTGGTGGCCACTAATGTAAATTAAACTTTTCCCTGACGGGTAATAACTTGAACGGGTCACTCTCGTATGACGATGGGAAACTCGAACTTGGATAGTATAGGACAGCAATGTTACATTCTGGTTATCCGGCTGACCAGATCTAAATGTCTGTACCAATCCGGAGCACGGTGGTGCGAACGCCGTATCCGAAAATTTGGATGTGCTACGCTACTTGGGGGAGTAACAGGTGTACGCGTCAGAAGGGAATGAATACCCTTTTGCGATCGTGGGGGTTTCGCGAGTCCATTCTGTAATTTCTTAAGATGAGTTTTTCCTTGTTTGTTCGCTTTGCCTTTTATTTCGTCATGTTGGTTTAGCTGTTTAGGAAACTGCTCAATCAAAGGGAATCGACTTATCCAATCAGAATAACTTAGTTTATCGTAGTGTTTACTTGGCTTGCCGACGTGATGCGTGATTCCTTCTGGATTAAGTAATTTCGATTTAGTGTATGTTGTTGTATGCTTGGTTGATTTAGGCCCTTTATGTGATAGGCTATCATTTTCGCTTGGTTGAGAACATTCAGTTGGACTTCGCAATAAGGCAGCACATTGATTGTCAATAGCAGGTATGTGACACTCGGCATTGTTACAACTGATTTCTCGATTACTCTCTGCCATAAAAGAAACATTGGTACCGCTAATATCTGGTGCGGGCCCCTAAATTTGGTTCTGTCTGAATAGAAGCATAGGTGTCTTTAAACTCGGCAACTTGAAGATCGTTAAATGAGCGGTTATTGTTATCTTGATGTTCGGTTTGGCTTTGTTTAGAAACTGTGTACGATTAAAGGGGACAGACTTCTCATCAATATGGTTAGGTTTAATATTGTTCGTTGTCTCCAAATTTATGCGCATATTTGAGGCTCGTAGTTGGTCATTAATCTTTTCAACAGTACTAATTTTACCCTGAAGGGAAGTTATTATTTTATTAAGTTCCTCAACCTCAATATTTCGTTCTCTTACTAGCAAAGTAGATCAGTTTGAAGGCGATTACTTTTTTCTTTTTCAGAAGAGAGATCATGTTTAAGTTGGTTTATATTTGAGTGCCCGTCTACAAATTTGCTAATAACGGAGTCTAACTTATTCTCAAAATTCGTTTGCATGATAACTAAATCCAATTTTACCCCTTCCAGTTCAGCGGCCAAAACTCTACAGTTACAGTACAACCACAATCATTACGCAGTGCGATCTGTTCCGTCTGAGATAAATGATTAGTCAGTACAGGATCAGACAAGCGGTGATAAATACTGTCCTGTTTACCTTGCTTGCTTTTAACCAGGCCAGCCGTATCAGTGACAGTATTTACATTCTTATACACGATATCAGGTGCGGATCTAGGATTTTTCATACATAAGTCGAACGCCGATCAGGCGTAAGACATGCTAGGGGGGTCTGGTGGCATTCCCCCCCCCCCCCGGAAAATTTTGAAATCTAGAGTCTCTGAAATGCGATTTCAAGCGTTTTGGCGGTGAGATTTTGCAGAATTCCAAAGATTATAAAGTACATCAAGCACATGCTTTTTTTATGTTCTCACAAACGTGCCTTCTCCCAGTCCTCGGAATTAGATTTACTAACGGAGGGTCATATTACAAAACACATCATGTAGTTTCAACTTTCAATAGCCTTTGAGTTTGGCTCATGAAATCCTTCGCAAATTGAAGTGATATGATACCAATGGCCGATCCAATATAACTCGCTGTTTGTGAATCAAAATTCTCAAATAAAATAAAGAGTAATATTTCAATTATACTTTGTAAAATGCATTTTTTATTCAATGAATTAAAATATGCTATAAATATCACTTGTATATTATAACGATATTCATCGCAAATCTTTCATACAATGCAAATCATCCAAATTATATTGTTTTAACCCGCCAATGCTCTATTCTGGCCCTTTTTATAATGGACAATGCATTTATAAATTATAAATACAGCAGGAAAGCTCGAAAGCGCATTGTAAGTTGCAAGTCGATTGCGTGTAAAAATGTATTAAAGCGTGTTATATTTCAACTTCGCATTTATCATACAAGATTCATTGCAATATATTCATTTCTGTTTCATAATTTTGGATATTTTCATACATTATAGCAGCGCACACTTTCCCTTTGGCTTTACCACCTAAATTACGACCATGATCTTTGTGATTTATTGTGAAGCACGTAGCAGAGAAGTCCCAACTTAGTGTCTTCTCGTTGTTGAACAGAACAACATTATAAAAGCTGCTCGCTTGATATCTTAGCTGCCCCACAATAATCCTCATTCAGTGACAATTCAAGTTTATTAAAGGCCGTTAAATCGTCTCGTAAAATCGGCCGCGTACATATAAATACTCGACATCGTAAAATAATTCTCCCAACTGTGAAAAACCTTCATATACGGGAATATGAAAGACTGCTTTGCATGAATTTCGCCATTTTCAAGGACTGATATCCCTTGCCGCGAAATAAGTCCGAATCAGTCCAAAAAATAAACCAATAGAAATTGTCAATAATTTCAAATTGACCAATCAAAATGAAGGAAATGGACTGATAAAAACTCCCTTAAAGTGCAAATCAGTCGGACCACCCCATAAAAACTCCCTTAAGTTGCAATTCAGTCCGACCACCCCACAATATTTTCAAATTGACCAATCAAAGGAACGAAATGGACTGATAAAGACTCCCTTAAAGTGCAAATCAGTCCGGCCACCCCACAGATCAGTCGAGATAAGTCCAAATGACCTCTCGACCAATCAAATGAGCATAACGACCACCCGATTCTGCGAGATTCTTGCGTTTTACCGCCGCTCTAGATAAAGCACATATTCAAAACTGAGCTCGTAAAGACGTATACTTGACTATGATATGAATTTCATATTATATTCGGGAATTAATTACTCAAATTTCGAAATAATAAATTAATTATTTCTTTGCAAAAAATACATCAGTCACGCGACTGATTGGACTTACCCTAGATCCGCCCCTGCACGATATAAGGGACATCGTACGCGTTAGATATGGCTGACTGAGAGTGTTTAGTTTCATCACACTCGAGCGATTGTGATTTTGATTTAAGATGGCTCCCTTGCATGCAAACGAATATACACCTATCTCGCACTAAATCACCGTCCTTGCCTTGAAAAATCAGAGTATTTTGTTTACCTTTGTACCATGTGAGCACTAAGTCAGCATTAGTGCTAGTAAATTTTTTTGTTTGGCCTCCAGGTGACGACCATTTCCCTTCGAGGCCCCAAACTTGACATACAATTCGTTTTACATTCTCCAGGTCATCAAGCCATTTTAGGCGTACTCCATCGTAAGATATATTAGACAATTCAGTGCAGCTATCGCAAGTGAGAAAAGAACTCAATCTGTGATTTTTATTCGTATTTCCTGCATTTTGATAGAGCATAACAGACACACGTCTTTCCGCCATGTTATATCGAGGGTGTTGATATTACGGATATACCATTTGTAAACAATGTACGTTTTTATATACAGTACTGTACGGGCTAATAATATATGTATCCGGTTTATTTAATAAATTATAATTGTATATGTGTTTGTATATTTTACAAGCACAAGGCTGCTTCTTGCCAAAATTGAGAAAATATATATTAATGTAGTTGTGTATAAGACAAAATTTCATGAAAGATTCTACTTTTGGTATATATTTTGACTCATTTTGTGCTTTCGCTACACCTTGTTAACATATTAAATAATAGTGTTGCTTCGAACTTTATGATAAAAAACCCGATTTTCTAGACGTGTATAGAAGTAAAAGTAGTAAGTTTATACTATAAATGAGTTTATTTTACCTGTATCGGTTTAAATTCGCCGTTAAGTTGCAAATAATACTGTTTGAGAACGCAATAATTGGGCATTTCGCAACCCAGGGCAGTTTCAGGGCAGATTTGGCCTTGTTGTTGGGAAATCCACTAGGCCTTCTAGGCTTGCTTCCTCCGCCCCGCCCCCAAATCACCTAGTCCCAGTCTTTTCATGTGAAAAAGCGCTGAATATTAAAAAAATATCGAAAAGAGTAGAAGGCCTAGGTCTAGGCTGGAGCGTTTGCATTCATTCCCCAGGGAGCAACTCGTGTTCCAGACAAGAGTCTAATTAAAATTCTTTTGAATTGAAACACCAACATTGGCGGCTGTGACGTTATGTGCCAACGCTCTATAGAAACGATATCTTGCAATTTTTGGAGAAAAACTCCGTTCTCATTGGCAGCATTAACGACCCACCAATGTAGATCTGAACGGGCTTCGGCAGTAAGGACAATACTCCTGTCATAATGATTTTTTTATTTCTTTTCTAATGAAGCGATTTTCAAGTGTTCTAAGGCACGGTAGGGCAGCTTGCTCGGTAAGACAGCTCGAAAAGAAGAAACAATCAAACCACTTATACGCGTTACATCACAAAGCGGGCGAACTTTTCGAGTCAACAAATCTGCCGCGAAAACGAAAATAATTACAACTAACCTCATATATTTCCTCGACCACCTTGATTACTGTAGATACTTTTTGTGAACAATCGGCAACAAAATTGCCAAAAACCGCAATGTGTCTGAGAAAATAATAATACGTATGGATTATAGTAGGTTTCACTAGGTTAGTGAAGACATGCGGAGCAGATGCAAGACAAACGGTAAAACAATACTAAATTCGTAAAGAAGACTATTCCAGCGAAAACACAAAAATTTTAAATGGTCAGCATACAGGGTGTGTAAAAAAAACTGCACCCTTTCAAATTCAAATTACCTATAACGTATTGTAGTAATTTGCAGCTCTAATTGCTTTGAATTAATGGTTGGGTACGGAGACAAGAACTCTTAAAAACATTTAAATTCTCTAATTTTTATTTCTTCGAGTTTTGTCCCATGAGTACAAGACCTTGTGTTCTTACCCAACCATTAATTCAAAGCAATCAGAGCTGTCAAATTACTACAATTAAGTTTTTTTATATAGACCCTGTATATCGGTAATGAAAGTAAGCGACTTTCAAATCAATTGTTGCACTAGAATCTTTGGGACGTAACAAATTAATCAATTAACAAGCTAATATTTTCAATTTTAAAAGGCAACAAATCTATTCAACCTTTTCAAGTTAATGACCAGGTAACATTTCGCCTGACTTCTTGGGATTAAGAACAGGTTTAAAATAAACTGTGACTTGTCAAATAAACATTTCCTAATGGTTCCCTTGGCGAGCAACTTTTGAACTCACCACTAACAGACTCACACTCGGAAAACAATTCTGCTTTATTTTGTAATGAGACTGAAAAGGCAAATGACTAAATTCAATTTTATAACTTCATCTAACGGTTTCGAAGACCCAAGGGTCAGATGTAATTTTTGCCCAATTCTTAGCATTTTAAACAAACGTAAACGACCACTAACCTGCGGCGATAGGACAATAAAGGAGTTACTAAGGCTGTTGAGTTGACATTTGCTGGCGACGAGGTTGTAGATTGGATCGTTTTATGCCACTGTGCAAGGTAATTCCAACCACGGCCTCGCCAAGCTCGATACGGGTCAGACCGGCGCTTGAAGTTTAAAGAACCAGAATCGCTATTAAACGCTGGGACCGTCAAACTTTCGTTTGTCGGAAAATTTCTTAACAGACATACGTTTAACTTGTA